AAACTTGCCGAAACCAGCACTCTTGCGCAACATCTGCATGCGCGTTGATGCTATTATGTCGCGCTGCTGCTGGGTGTAAACGATAGTAACCATGCCAAAGGCTGCGGTTGGCGTGACTACCGCGTTGAGCACCTTCGGCAGCCCGTGGGAAGTCCAGCGAGGGGCGGCTACTCGCAGATCCAAGCTGTTTCGTGAGCTCCTGGTGGGCCCAGCGGAGTGGAGCCACATGCAAATCCTTGGGCGCTGCCAACTGCGCAACGGTTGGCACTGTCGTGGCCTCCGAGGAGGTCCAGCGGGGTGCGGCCACACGCCGAACCAAACTAGTACCCCCCTCCCTGGGGAGGCTGCCATCGCCTCAGCGGTCGACACACTCGTGAGCTCCTGGGAGGTCCAACGGGAAGCGGTCACAATCATACCCAAGCTATTGCTCCACTCTATGCGTTGTGCCAAACGCTCAACTGTCGACACCTTCGGCAGCACGTGGGAAGTCCAGCGAGGGGCGACTGCTCGCAGATCCAAACCATTCTCCCCTCCTTGGGCTCTTCCCAGCGCGCAACGGTCGGCACTTTCGTGAGCTCGTGGTGGGTCCAGCGGAGTGCGGCCACACGAAGTTCCAAAGTATGATTGACGTCCTCCTTGGGCGCCAAGCGGCACGTCCATGGACCCCTTGGAGGTCCAGCTGAATGTGGTCAAACGCAAGTCCAAACTAGACGGAATGTGGTCTTACGCAGATCCATACTATTACTCGAGTCTCTGGGCGTTACCAAGTGCACAATTGTCGGCACCTTCGTGGGCGCCTGGGAGGTACAATAGAAAGCGGCCACACGCAAATCGAAACAAAGACCTCCCACACCTGGACGCTGTCATCAACACGACCGTCGGCATTTTCGTGGGGTCTTGAGAGTTCCCGATGAGTGCGGATACTCGAAGGTTCAAACTATGACTTCGAGGCGCTGCCAAGGTAGATCCAGAGGAGTGTGGACACACGCACATCCTAACTAACCTCCCCTCCCTGAGCGCTGCCAACTGCGCAACAGTCGGCACTGTCGCGGGCTACTGGGAGGTCTAGCGGAGTGCGGCCACACGCCGAACCAAACTATTGGTCCCCTCCACAGGGCGCTGCCATCGCCTCAGCGGTCGGCACTCTCGTGAGCTCCTGGGAGGTCCAGCGGGGATCGGCCAAAACCATATCCAATCCAAGCTAGACATCCTCTCCCCAGGCTCTGCCAGCTGAACGACTGTCGGCACTTACACAAGATCGACTGCACACTGATCCAAACTAACTTAGACATGGCATCCCTTGGCGCTGCCAACCGCGAAATTGCCAACAAATTCGTGCTCCTTGCAGTTCGAGCGGAATGCGGGATTTACGGCTAAAACGCGGCGCACCTGCGGGCCCACGCCAAAATCCAAACGTCAACTGCCTTCCAAGAACAGATCGAGCGCGACGGGGTCATCGCCGACGTTGGGTTCAAGGACGGCCGACCACGTGACTGCACGTCAGGCTCCACTGGAACCACGACTTCGGACAACTTGCTCATAGTGCGGGGCCCCAAATGATCGAGCGACTCAAGTCATGGTGACGATAGGATCTGGGATTTCTGAAGAAACGGCCCTGGAATTAAAAACAGGTTCTCTCGTCTACTCAATCATGTTTTGTCTTGTCTTGATTCGGCGGCGCACTTTGACAAATCCGTGTCTCGCTTTAGTCAATCATCGCTTTTTCAATACTCTGCTCTGAGAATGCGCGTGCATTCGTTGACATGACCCGTGCTGGCCGGTGCCCAAGATCGGACAGACCACCCGCGAAACGATGTCGGGCGAGTGTCTCCCAGGGCCCGACGCGTGAAAACCTCTGAGTCTCGGTGTTTTTGTTGGCCGCTCGACACTCTTCCTGGTGGCCAAGGCTAAAGTAGGCTGGAGCATCATAAGTCTACACGGACAGCGCGCAGAACAACCTGAGTCGGGCGTTGGCAGAACTGGGTTCAATGGAACCTGGTTTAGTGATGTGTACTGGGGCGCGCCCCCCCGCCCCATTTCCGCTAACCGGAACTGCCGTCGCCCGAAAAAACGCCAGCCACGGCAGACCTGGTTTAGTGATTCTGGCCGATTCCCAGGCTCTGGGGCCCCACCACGAACCGGCGCCCCCTTACCTGGGGTCCTGGCCATAACCCGATCCTCCTCCCATCCCCCGAGCCACCTCCTCGATCCTCCTCCATCCTGCACCTGCCTCCTCCCTCCTCGACCCCCCCCGCGACCCCCTTACCCGGGGTCCTGGCCACCCCCGACAGGAGGGGGGGCTGGCACGCGAGCTCGCATCTTCGCCCCCGGCTCTCTGCGTGCCCAGCTGGGCTGGGCGACGGGCCTGCCGGCGGAGCTGGCGGCCCCACCGGCGGCGCGCGCACCCCGGAAGAACGATACGTGGCCACCCAGAAACGTCTCTCGGGGATGGACAGACCTCCCTTTAGTAAAACGTGGTTTAGTGAAGACGACCTGAGGCCCAAACCTGGCGGGCGCAAGCCTGGAAAATAACGGCCACGGCGCCCTCTCGAGAACCGAAATCGGACAATTCACTAATCGACGTGTCACTGTTGGGGGTTCTGTCCACCCCCGAGTCCTGCGTGAGCGATGGGACGGCATTCCCCCAGCATCGCATCGCATCGCATCCCCTCCTCCTCCTTCTCCCCTCGTCATGCCGTTCCTTGCCCCATCCTCGTCCTCCTCGTCGCGCATACTAATTGTTCCTCCTTTCCTGTGCCCTCTCCTCCTGTTACTCGTCGTGAGAAATCCTTCAACCAACTCCACTTCCATCGGCTGGCTCTGCATCGCGCCCGTCCTGAAAAGACTTTCGGCGCAACGGCTTCCTAAATACCTCCCACAAAGGATTGCGTTCCGCTTCGCGTAATCATTGGTATCGGATGGGCCCGGTGATGTTGCCAATTGTTGCAATTGGGGCGGGTAAGTCCCTGGGTAATTTAGCTCTCTTTTCGGGCCTGTGGCAAGCGTCTCGGCTCCATAGCCGGATTCCCTCTCGAAGCTCCTGTCGTAACTCATCTCAGGACTCAAATCTGGGGTGTGACTTCTGAACCCCAATCCCAAAACCTCAACGCCGGGGTTCGGGGTTCGGGTATTCAGATCTTGGGACATTCCTTGTCTAACTATCGTGGTTTCGTGAGGCGCCCCCGCCTGGGGGGGCGATTTGCGAAACCCGAACCCCGACACCCTGCGGCTCGGAAATATCGAGTCTGACGCTCTTGTACAGGGAAGCTGGAAAAAGTGGAGGTTGGAAAATCAGTGAAAGTGGAAGTGGCCAGGGCTGGAATAACTGACAGTGGGTGAAGCGAGCCCGAAACAGTAGGAATGCGGTCGCCAGGGCTGGAACAAGAGAGAGAACTGACCAGGGCTGGAAAGAGTGGGAAGGGCTGGCCCCCCGTCACTTCTTCCAGCTTCCATGTGTATGTGTTCGGCGCCAGCATGTAAAAGAGACTCAGCAGGAACAAAAACCGGCCCCGCATGGATGCGAGAGGTCCGGCGCCTCGAAGATCCACCAGGCCAGTGAAGGGGCCCCAGGACACACAAATAAATACACACAAATGAAAATATTCCCCATATGTTCCCATATTTTCTCGGTGTTTGTCTTCCCCCCACTTCCCATATTTTCCAATATTTTCCTAGGGATCGACGATTAATTGTGTCTGTGTGTTTTTCCCCTCCTGAGCCAAGACGCTGGAGGTTTGGGTGCACACCTGAAGCGATCCTGACCAGGCCCCTCCAGGGCCAACGCTGCTCGCGCAGCGACCTCCTGGCCTGGCCAAGGAGACCTGTACAGCAGAAAGCTGCCTTGACATAAGCTGTCGGGAGTCTGTGCGGATTCCTCGGGGCGGCGTTCCTCTTCACGGGCGGGCGGCGCCAAGGGCACCACCAGGTGCGGGCAGGGCAAGAGATCCGCGCGGACCACCGAAACGAGTACTGCTCATGCAATTTTTCCCCGTTCAATGCACAAAGCACCTCGGCTACACGCCAGGGTGACGCCAGGCAAGAATGACCTTTGGGGGGCGGGTTGCTGATCGTCGTTTGCGGTGCGAACCGCAGGGACGGATTACGTGTTTGGGCATGCCCCCTCGAGCCCCCTGAGAGCAGCGCGCTGAAGGTCGCTCCAGCTAAAGAGTCACTCTCGATCTTACTCAAAATGCGTGTTGGTACGCGTGCTTGTGCACTGATGCCCTTCAACACGACGCAGGCGGCGACGCAAGCTGTGAAATGAGGGCCGACACGGTCAGCGTGCCCTCGTCGGAGCTGGGCGGGGTTCACACGCACGCATTGGGAGCTGACACGCGTCCCGAAGATCGTCGACTCTCTTACGTCTTATGTGTACTTAGCGGAATCCTGGGCCGAAAATTTCGGCGCCGACCACTAGACGGTGGCACGACGGGGGTGGGTTTCTCAGACTGCAGCGGAACTTCTAAGAAGGCAAGGGGGAGCTTCATAAAAGCCCTCCGCGCTTCTAGAAGGCTTCTCGCAAGCCCCCAGGCCGAACTAAGAACATTGGTCCCATTTTGGAAAGCCGCCCCCTCGCGCCACCCCTGTGTATGCGAAACAAAAGAATTATCCGTATCCGCGGCCTCGCGTGCTGGGCCTCTGGGGCGCGAACCCGCGGATAAGTACAGAGAGTTGTCTCGCAAATGCCCCGCGGGGAACGTAGCGGTGCGACCGCGTATCCGCTAGATCGCGCCGAAGAATCCAGACGGCGGGGGCGCGGCTGTACATTCGTCGCTCGTGAGCCCCGTGGCGCTGCCAAGAATTATGCGCCCACCGACATCGATGATCGGGGGCTTCCAAGAGAAGGGGTTGTCCAAGAGGGAGGTGATGGGGGGAGGCCAGGGAACGTATCGAGAGAAAAGAGCGGTCCATGAGGTCATATCAACACACCCCTGCTAATCACCCCCCTCTTGGACGACCCCGAGAGGATCGGTGCTGGAATGCAGCTGGCGCCGCTGGTCCTGCGGCCGTTGAAGCCGCTGCTCGCCGGCGTCTATTTGCCACGCGTCCTCAGCGCCACGCGCCGCCGCCGCCGTCGTCGTCGCCCGCCTTCTATACCCTTCGTTGCCGTGAATCGTCATCGTCGGTCATTGGGCTCGTCGTCGACGTCGTCGGCCTCGTAGTCGTTCGTCGTCGCCGGTCGTCGGCTGTCGTAGACGCTCGTCGGCGTCGTTCGTCGCCATTCGCCGTCGCCGTCGTGGCGTCGTCGCCGTGGTCAATCGTCGTCGTCGCAGCCACCATTCGGTTGGGACCATCGCGCGCGCTTCGCGAGGGCACGAATTCTTCCTGTCGCATAGTCTAGTGCATCTCTTGGGGGAACAAATGTCCCAGATTCGTTGAGATCGCGCGATTTCGAATCCCTCGCGGCCGTCGCGGCGATCAAAGCTTGAAGCGTGGTGTTCAAGGATGAAGGATTGTGATCAACCGAAACCCCAGGCAACAATGGATGATGCCGCCAGTCGGCTGGGCAAGATCGACTCTTTTCCCTCTCGCCATGCTGATGCTACTGCACTCAGGATGCTGAATGTCAGGGGCTCTGCGACACGAAGACGGATACCAATCACACTCCGCACGTCGCAACCCCCGTGCGACTCGGACCCGGAGGCGGCGGGAGACCAGCCACACTCACATGGCCGAGCCACACGAATGCCTCACAGCCTGTCCCAGCCGCGAGGCCGACGGCCTTTGAAAATGGTTTTGGCCCTGGGCTCGGCCACGTTCCCAGCACACGGTTTGTGCCCACGGGGAAGATAGATCCGCACCAGCGGAAATTTGGGCAACTTGAACATACAGGTGCGGTTCGCGAAGCGAGCTTGATCACATAAGATACTAAAACAATAGACGTGTGCGAGGGATCATAGATGCTGAAAGGGTAGTAGACACACATGTACTGCAAAAGAGCCAAGCCGTGGGAACCATTATCTGGTCACCTGGGCTCCCCCTCGTGCCCTTGTCACATGCCGCTCACCGAATGGCGTGTGAGTTATCTGACATGTCACACAAACATTTACGACTGGGGCTCTGGAACGTTGTACATGTCTTGGAAGCTGGGCGAAGGCTGGCAAATCCGTGGCTGCTAAAACGGTCTTCCCGGAAGAAAAGAACAAGTTCCCGGAATCAAGCTCCGGAGCTCCTTTTGAGCAGCTACGGCTTTGCCAGCCGTCGCCCGGCTTCTGAGTGTCACCGCTGGGCGAGGCGATGAGCGTCGCAGGTGCCAGACAGAACTTGCTGCAGCACCCCTGGAATCCTGTCACAAGAGTTAAGTCGGGCGTGTCGCCCTGCAGGTGGATGTTCGACGAAAAATAAAAAATACCCCAAGGGAAACGATTGGCCGACGGACTGATGTAGAAAAACCGTTCCGAGGTAAAACCTACACGAATAAGAACTGGATAACCCACATGGCGCGGTCTTCCCGCTCCTCCCTCAAAATCTGAGCGACGCAGGCGGATGTCGTCCTCCACAAGGCGCCGCGCGTCGTCCTCGGCACCGCCCCAGCGCTGCGCTGCGCGCCTCGTCGGCTGCTGGTGAGCATGCCGGCCTTCTGCGCGGCCGCGCGGCGGCCAACCGCCGCGGCCCTCGGGGGCGCGGGGGCTCGGGAGTTTTCTCTTCCTCTTCCTCCACCTGTTTCTTCTCCCCTTCTTGCTCCTCGTCATCCTCTTCCTCCTCCTCCTCCTCCTCCTCCTCCTCCTCCTCATCATCATCATCATCATCAGCATCAGCATCAGCATCAGCATCAGCATCAGCATCAGCATCAGCATCAGCATCATCATCATGATCATGATCATGATCATGATCATGATCATGATCATGATCATGATCATGATCATGATCATCAGCATCATCATCATCATCATGATCATCATCATCATCATCATCATCATCATCATCATCATCATCATCATCATCATCATCATCTTCCTCCTTCTCCTCCTCCTCCTCCTCCTCCTCCCCTCCCCCTCCTCCTCCTCCTCCTGCTCCTGCTCATCCGTTATCATTATTTTCCTCCTCCTTCGCCTCCTCGTCCTCCTCCTCCTCCTTCGAACCTTGCAGTAGATCTGGGCTAGACGGGTCGTGATTCCAAATCCTGCTGGGGCACCGTTGCAAGGGAATCCACATAACTGAACTTGCTGGCTGAATGATATATACCTGATGAACTTGGGCTGGTTAGAACTCACTGAGCAAGGGCCGCTCCAGAAAGCCGCTGCTGCTGGCTCGCGAGTCGAAAAGGTTCTTCTGTTCATGCCCATGGAACTGGCATCGCGTGAATAATTTCGTCTGCTGGGCACCTGCACTGCAAGAAAGGATTGCTGGATAACGGATTCTATGATAATGCGGCCAATTCGTTGTGCCAAAAAGGGCAAGAGCTGTTTCTCGCATTTCCTGACCTCGACCTGTCTGACTTTCGCCCGCTGCAGACCGCAAAAAGAAGCCCGATGGCCCGATACGCTGGCCCGCCAATGCGTCCTCACTTTGAGAAACAAGATTTTTTGCCAAGAGGCGTCCAGTGGCGAGCAGTCTTGCACCGCGAGCCGGAAAACACCTGACCCGAGCGATGGCAAACGCGAGAGAACCACTACCCAAGGGCCGCAAACGCGAGAGAACCACTACCCAAGGGCCAGGGGCTACAGTCAACCCCGATAGTAAGGATGCGCGATATGAATGCAATGGTCTTGGACGCCCATTTCGATGCTTTTCGAGCGGGGCGCGGCCAACGAAAGTGGCGAACGATGCGACAAGGAGGCAAGGATGTAAGGGTACCCTTGGGAAGGTTACCCGTCCTTACTACGTGGGTTGACTGCACTACCCAAGGGCCAGGGGCTAGTCGGAGCCCGAAGACTCCGCGCGGCTTGCGCGAGCAGCTTGCACCAGAGGGGCCTCGTCGCCCCTTTTGGCGGATCGCGTCTCGCGCTGCGCGGCGCTGCGCGGAGCTGCTCAGCTGGGCATCGCCACCTTCTCCTTTGGAGAGGGTGGAGCCTCCGCCGCACTCTACGGCGTGGCTTCTGGCGCCTCGAGACATGACAGTCGGCCAGTACAGTAAGGATGCGCAATGAGGACGCAAGGGCCTTGGAAGACCACGCCATAGCTTTTCGAGCGGGGCGCGGCCAACGAAAGTGGCCAAGGACGGTCCGAGGAGGCGAAGATGCAAGGGTGCCCTTGGGACGTTGGGGCGGTTGCCCATCCTTCCTATTCGGGTTGACTGTATGGGGGCACCTCGATAGCAATAGTGTCCAATGTCGGGCGTCTTCCTTTCAGCGCGCGGCGTGTCCCCCGCTCCGGGTTGCTGCGCGTCGGGGGGCGGCGCTCCATGGCCGGCGAAGCAGGTGGGCGGAGCGTCGAGATCGCCCCGCAGTCGACGTCAACGAAAATGATCGACGCGTCGCTGCAGTCGAAGGCCAGGATTCGATGGCCTTTCGCACCCACTTGCTGCCACGAGTCTGGCACAACTTTCCTAGCAACAACAAAATTGGCCGCTCCCTCCTCAGACAAAATCCTTCACAGGACGGCGCGCCTTCAGGCACGCCGCGCACCTCCAGCACGCGCTACACCATTCCCACTGGTGGTGGTCAGGAGGGGCCAAAGCCTTGGGCTGGGGCCCCCGACGGGCCCCGGGGCAACCTTGGAGGTCAAGCGCGGGCCGCGAGGGCCAAAGGCGGGCCGCCAGACGACGCGCGGCCTTGGCCATCTGGATCTTCCGTACTACCTGCTGCAAATCGCGACTCGAGCTTGTCGGCCTGGGCGGGTTTCCAGCCCCGACTAAACAACTCGATCTGTCGCGTCGTCACCGTATTTTTCCCAGCTCCGCTGCTGGGTTGAATCGACGTTGCCGCCACGTGCGCTCTGACATTCCTCCGAACCGACAAGTCGCCTACATGCGCCACTACCGCTGTGCTGGCGCACGTCGTCTCGCGAGAAAAACGGACAGCTGGGCCTTGCGCGAGAGCGTTGACCACGCTCGCGCAATCCAGAAGACCCACAGGCGGGCCTCAGAAATTCTGGGTCACCGTGGCTGGGGCCCCAAACTCCGCCGCGTCAGGGGTTTGCGGCATTGGGGCCCAGCACCGACCGGATCTCCTCAGTCTCCTGGGGAACTTGCGCAAAACCCCACGCGCTCTACGCAGTTCTTTAATCGGGTGTCTCGCGCGCCCATGAAAACGCTGCCTTCGACGACCTGTGCGACGTTCAGCAACTGGTCTTGCATAGCGACCTTTCGCGGTGGTTCGCGCGGGCCGATGGCGCGGCGCGCTACGTTTGAGACGGGGGCATTTGCGCGCGACCTTGCGCGGGCAGCTAGCGCGCCAGCGCCGGCGCAGACGGCCCGTTCGCTTGCGTCGCACGCCTGGCCAGGTTCAGTATCCTCCACCTCGTGATCTTCGCGCCCGACAACTTCGACGCACCCCTCCTGCCGCGGCCGAACTGGTTTCCAGGATGTTCGCGGAGTTCCTTTCTGAGAAGAAGAAGAATAAGAAGAAGAAACAAATCCTAAACGTCTAACCGATTGATGTTCCGAGCGGCCTGCAAGACTCCGGCCTCGGTCCATTCCTGTCGCGCAGATTCGACCGCCGTGCGCTCCCAATTCGTGGAAAACCGCGCCCCTTGCCTGGCAGCGCAAGGAGCGCCGGGTGCAGGGCAGATCGTAAGCCATGTCGAGCGCGCGCCCTTTGGTCTACACAGCTACACACCCCAGGGACTTGAGGCAACCCTATTGGTAATGTTCATGGTTGGACGGGCGGGGCTGCGGTGTTATAGTGTCGTAGCAGGCGCTACACATGACTCCGTGGACTCCCCCCGCGTCTCTCCCCAACTGCTTCAAGGCCCTTCCGTGCAGCATTTTTGATGCGGACCAGCAGCTGCGGGGGGGCACCGTGCCTGGCTGCTCGACGCGCAAGATCAACTCGATCGACAACTGGGGCGGCGCATCTGTCAGCAGCTCGAAGTGCTCGGGACGAACTCCATCCCATGTCTGGCAAGTCTGATTACTGAAGGTCCTAATGCCTTTTCTGACGGCAAAGGGAGTGATTGGCAGCAATTTGCAAGCCTCTTCGCATTGACCTGGGGTCTCGGCGCTGGGGTTGGCATGGGTGTTCGAAAGATCTTGGCGCCGTCCACCATCATTACCGAGCAGCGTGCTTGGTCTGCCGGACCGCTGGCTATCGTTGGCCTTCGCCTCCTGGGGCTGCCTGGCGGCACTGTCTACGGACAGTTTCTTGGGCCCGCCCCACGTCATTGGCCATCAACTCGGCGCCCCAACTGTTTCCGGGAAGCCCTGGCTTGAAGAATTTCCCGAAAGCGCTCCTGGTCGTGAAGCTGGTCACCTCCAACTGAACTTTCGAGAAAAAACTGCGGGGCGCGCTGGCGAGACGGTTCGACGCCCTCGCTCAGCGCATCCTGCAAGGCAGCTACCGGACGCGTTGCCGACGCGGACAATGTGGGCGTCGGATCGAAAGACTGCTTGACATGATCTGCTGCACCCACATGCGGATACAATGGGGGCGTGGGGGCGACGCATCCTTGCCCTCTGACCCCTCGGGCTTCTGCAACAATGTTGCGAACAGCTCGGGGCCCACAAAGGAGCGCCATGGAGACGCGCGACCCCGGAGAATTTTGAAGACAGTTCGGGGATTACCCAAAAAGGGGAATGCAGGCGAGCGGGGGGCGCGGTCCGCCTGGCTGTTGTCCTCGAACTGGTACGGGTGCGTTTCCCCCGCGATGGTGACCGGGTGGAGGGCCACGGTCGCGGTGAACACGGTGCTGAGCGCCAGGGGCGCGGAAGGGGAAACAACGCTTTGTCCTTGCTGTAGTCGTCTTTCAAGTGCTTGCACATCGCGGTGGAGATGGAGAGCCATCGCCATCGAGGACAGGCAACGGGGAGGCGAAATGGCGGCGGCGATTGGAACCGAAGCCCCGCTACCAACTACAGAGCTGGATGGTAAACTCGAGTTGCTTCACCAAAGTAGTGCGAGGCTGATATAAGGCGTTTTACACGGGATCGGGAAGATACCCTCCCGGGCCCCAGAACAATAAACGGCAGAGGAAAAAGGGACACGCCGAAGAGAGGCGGAGGAGGAGGAGAGGAGGAGGAGGAGGAGGAGGAGGAGGAGGAGGACAAGGAGGAGCAGGAGCAGGAGGAGGAAGGAAAAGCAGGAGGAGGAGGAGAAGGAGGAGGAGGAGGAGCAGGAGGAGGAAGAGGAGGAGGAGGAGGAGGAGGAGGAGGAGGAGTAGGACGAGGAGGAGGAAGCTCGAGGAGGAGGGGGAGACTTGAGGAGGTGCAGGGAGAGGAGGAGGGGGCTGGAGGACGAGGCAGCGGAGGAGGCGGCCCCGGGCGCCGACGGCGGCCGCTGCTGCAAAGCCGCGAGGAGGTCGGCGGCGCCCTCCGCGGCGGCGTGGGGGCCGCCCTCCTGCTGCGAGGGCGAGAGGAGCAGGTAGCCTCGAGGCCGGGGGGGGGCGCCCAGCCCCTCCTCGTTCGCCTCCTTGCCCTCCTCCCCGTTCTCCTCGGCCTCCCCAGTCTCCTCGTGCCTCCTACTCGTCCTCGTCCTCGCTCTTCTCCTCCTCGTCCTCCTCCCTCCTCTTGCTGCGCATGCTCCTCCTCCTCCTCCGTCTCCTCTTCCTCCTCCTCGTAGTCCTTCTCCTCCTCAACATCAACATACTCTCATTCTCGCTCTCTTCCTCCTTCCTCCTTCTCCTGCTCCTCTTCCTTATCCTCCTCCTGCTCCTCGTCGCTCTCCTCCTCCCCCTGCTCCTGCTCCTGCTCCTCCTCCTGCTCCTCCTCCTCCTCCTGCTTTCCTTCCTCCTCCTCGGTTCTCCTCGAGGCTCGGGGCTGCGGGCGGTTCTGCCGGTGACAGCCCGCGCTCTCGTTCTCCTCGGCGCCCTCCTACTCTTCGCTCTCCTCGTTCTCCTCGGCCGTCGTCCTCCTCCCCCGTCGCGTGTTCCCCGTCCAGCTCGAGTGGCCTGGATCGAATTATTTGCAAAGACTAGTGGCATCAGGGGGAGGAGGATCGAGGGGGGCGGAAGATCGGGGCGATAGATCGAGGATCGATCCCGTCTTTGCAGGACGGTTCCAAAACCGAGCCGGACGGGTCGTTCCTGGAATCCGAACTGAGCAGAGGCTCGCGATGTCGAGCCCGGGTCTGTGTGCCGTCTCCTCCACTTCCCGTGCCTGCCACAGTTTCCCATGGGACCGACGGGTCCTTGTGAGGAGGAGGAGGAGGAGGAGGAGGAGGAGGAGGAGGAGGAGGAGGAGGTGCCTGTGCCTTGCCCCTCCAGATATAAAAGAAGGCGGACTTCCGCGGCTCCGCGCGGCCCTCCCGGATCGGCGCGGCGCGCCCCCCCTCCCCCGGGTGCGCGGAGCGCGCCCAGCGGGCGGCGCCGGGAGCGCCGCCCGCGGGCGCCAGGCACCAACCCGAGACATCCGCGCGGAGCTCCGCAGGTGTTTTTTTGTTATATATATATATATATATATATATATATACCTTGGGAACCCCCAAAGCAGGTGGTGAGATACCAGGAGCCTGTTTTTCTTTATATCCAGGCAAGCTTACTTGCATGGCGTTCGCCCCCCCCCCCCCCCCGCCCCCCTCGCTCCTCTTCAATCGAACACGAGCGTGCAAGTGTCCTTCGACTTGCGTGATTTCCGCCCGTCGACTTGTTTTCGGCCTGCTTCAGACTCAGCCCCCCCCCCCCCGTCCATGCAAGTAAACTTGCCCAGATCCAAAAACAACAGGCTCCAGGTGGCGACCTGGAATCCCCAAAAAGGTCACCGCTGGGTTTGGGGACGCGGGGTCACCACCGGGTCTTGTGACTCCTGGGCCCACCAGTGTCTGGGACATCCTCGGAAAACCGCACGAGTCCCCAAACCGGGTGGTGACACCAAATCACCCGAGACTCACCGCCAGGTGTTGTCACCACCACGTTTGGGGACTACCAGAGAACGCAGGGCGCAGAACGCAGCTGCCAACTGCCCCGGAAGGCGGCCCGAATCGAGGCGGCAGGCGTGCTTGGCACGCTGGCCCTCGTCGAGAAGGACCGGTGAAGCGGCAGCGAGGAGCTGCGCGCGAGAGGCCAGCGAAGCAGCCACACGCTGCAGCGATATGCAGCCCAACGCTGCCGAAGCGCGCAGCACAGTGCAGAATGTCTGCCCCGACCGTGCACCAGACCAACGCGACAGGCCGCGCGGTGAGCGCAGCCGAAACTCTACCGATCGACTGACAGATGTCGGCCGCACGGCAAAGAACACGAAAACTGCAAGGGTTATGTCGGGCCTGTCCCCCTACAGGGGGATTTTCGTCGAAAAATAAACAATAACCCAATGATATTAAAAAATAGTCCAAAAATAATGCAGGGACTATTTTTTTTTAGTATGTTTGGACCTTTTGGGGGTATTTTGGAGGTATTTTCTATTTGTCGTCGGAAATCCCCCTGTAGGGGGACACGCCCGACATAATGCAAGGCCCCCGGACTCGGGTAGAGAGGGAAGGAGGGGCAGGAGGAGGAGGAGGCAGAGGCAGGAGGGGACGGGAATACCGCGGCCCTCTCGGCGGTACACTCTGTGGCAGGATGTCTGACTCAGTGGCAAGATGCGGCATGCCAAGTATTAGGCTGCACCTCAAAGTCAACCGACCGTGGCCCGCAAGCGGCAGCCGCTAAAGGAGGAGAGAGAAGAGAGCTGCAGGAATGCGGTGGGGCTTCGCTCAGAATCCGACTTACAAAATGCCACCGCCTTCAACGAGGGCACCAACGACCTAGAATCGGAAAGGTCGAACCTTGCGAGGTGGCCCCAACCGCGACGCCAGACCACAGGGCAAAATGACAGATGAAACGTTCCCGCACGGAGGATGGGGATAGCTACAATAGGCAGCGCTGCCGCGTCACGCAAACGACAGAAAGAGAGAGAGAGAGAGAGAGAATGAGGAGGAAAAGGACGAGGAGGAATACTGCACGCACCTGCGGACCGCTCCGGGGCAGGAGGGCCCCCAACGGCCCCAAACGCCTCAACATGTCTAGCGGGAGGGAGGTGCCCGCCGAGCCACGAGCTCCCACCGCACGCGGCGCTGACCACCAGCCCTCCGCGGTCCAGACCGGGAGCTCCGAGTGCCGAAACTCGGGGGAGAGCGACGAAGCAACAGGCAGAAGAAGCAGAACGCAGGCCAACCCCAGCAGGGCTAGCCGGCGTTATGCCTCCGGGAGGCAAGGGAGGGAGGAAAGAGACGAGAGGGGAGAGGATTGCAGCCCGAACTCGACGGACAGTGGACACAGCAAAACAACGTGAGGAGCTGCCGCCCCCTGCGATTGAGAAATCCATTGGTCGGCGCTACGAGCCGCGAAAACGGCATGTCGAGAACCCGGAACGCCTGGGCCGCAGCTAAGTAGCTAGGTGGCCGGAAAGTGGCCCATAAAATGGCCGAGACGACAAGGAGGAATGAGGAGAAGAAGAAAAGGGCAATCGCACTGGGCGCAATGGGACAGGAGATCGCTCCGCAATCAAAAACCGCCCAACGGGCCTAGACGACAGAACTGGCCGTACAAACCCGCATCACGCGGCGCCCCGACGGGCATCACGACGAGCGGACAACTTGGTTGTCGAGGTTCGCCTGAGACGGAGACCGCGGCCGTCGCAAAACATTTGTCCTGCGAGCGTGGCCGAAACGCGGGGTGGACATACGGGCGGCTACTCGCCGGTGCGTCACACGATTCGCAGGAAGGACGACGGAGGGAAAGGAGGGAAGAGAAAGGCGAGGGGACCACGAACGCTCTCGCCAAGCGCTGCTCTTGAAACCACGCCCTAGGCAGCCAGCCGCGAAACACTACGGTGCTCCTCGCTCCACCAGTGGTAGTGGGCGCACGGGGCGTAGTGCTTGAAACTGTCCGCTGCCAGCGGCGCAGCGCCAGGCCTGCTGCAAGCGCCGCGCGGTGACCCAACCGTTGAGGGCGGTGCGCAGGGCCACGGCCACGACGCAAGGAGGCACGAACGGACTAGTCGCTTCCCTGTTCGACGGAAGCCGCTGAATCCGCGCCCCCGGAACCACTTGGGCGCCCGAATTATCCGGGGTAACTCGGGTCTGGGGTAACTCGGGTTTGGACTCCCGAGAAAGGAACCCGAGTTAGCCCTGACCCGAGTTACCCCTGATGATTTTGGGGCTCTGGACGCCCGAATTATCCGGGGTAACTCGGTTCTGGGGTAACTCGGGTTTGGATTCCCGAAACACGAACCCGAGTTAACCCTGACCCGAGTTACCCCTGATGATTCGGGGCTCTGAACCACGTCGATGTCCCAGTGGTGCAGGCGACGGCGCAGGAAGGTAACCCAACTGGGGCCTGCGGGCGGCCAACTGGGAGGCTTGAGTGGCGCGCGGCCTGCCACGTTGCCTCCCTCCTGCTGCCGGGTGTCCAACGCGCCGCCGCTCGCATGCCGGGAGACTCTGTGCCAGCTCGAGCTCGTGCACTCTCTCCTCCTCCTCCTCCTCCTCCTCCTCCTCCTCCTCCTCCTCCTCCTCCTCCTCCTCCTCCTCCTCCTCCTACCTCCTACCTCCTACCTCCTCCTCCTCCTCCTCCTACCTCCTACCTCCTACCTCCTACCTCCTCCTCCTCCTCCTCCGCTCCTCGTGCTCGGGCACGAAGAACGTGTCCGACTCGGGCCAGCGCCCGAAGGGGGCTGGCGGAAACTCGCGGAGAACGCGCGGAATGCGATGCCGAAATTGACGTGCCCGCCGCCGCCGCACCGGCAGGCTGCCCTGCTGGGCGTCTTCGGCGTGGCAGGCCCGTGCCTGGGCGGCGATCGACGCCCACTGGATGGCCACCAGCTCGCAGGGGAAGCCGAACAATCTGAGCTGAACCAAAGCTTCGGCGCTCGCCCGTGCACCGGACACAGCCGGGCGCAGGCTCTGGTCTCTAAAACTGCGAGCGTCGATGGGAATGGGCGGGGCTGCGCCACGAACGAGGCGACAGACGCAACGAACACCCGGAGGCCTCGCACGTGTGAAACACTCTGGGGCCCAGGGCCCCCGAGAGCAGTGCGCGGCCCATCATCTTGGCAAGCGGGGCCGTCCAGGAAGCGTTCCCTGCGCCTGGGCCCCTGGGCCCAGGATCCGTCCCAAGTAATGCGACTGGTCCTTGGTGGGCATGGCCCCCCACTTCGCGGCCTCTCGGGCGATGTCAGCCCACAGCGCCAGCTTATCGCAGGTGAACAGGGGACGAACGCCGTCTTCCAGCAGTTCCAGCGCAGGCCCGAGATCTGGGCATGATCTTCGAAGCAGCGGTGGGGAGTCGGCAGCTGGGCGAGGCCGCGCCCACCGAAGCTGACCTGGTCGCCGGCGCTAACCCGCACGAGCGCGGCCGGCAGGAGGTGCCCCAAGCGAAAGAATGACATACAGTCGGGGCGTTGACCTCAGGAACCCCAAATAAGGAACGAG